GGTTCGGGCTCAAGTGAACGCGCAAGCGTTGGCGCCGGAGTGGCACCCAAAGGAGCTCTACCACCCAGAAGCTGGACCAGCAACTGGCTCTGAGCACGGAGCGCAACGATCTCTATCCCCAATGGCGCCAGGAACTTCACATGAAGCGACACATTTGTTTGTTCAACGGCTAGGAGCCGCTACGACATAGCGCGATAGTCCTCAACGTGAGGCAGCCGGTGCACAACGTGCCCTAAGCTCTCTGGGCCATCCACGCAGCGAAATGCGACCCCAGCATGACGCTCAGCAGAGTTTCCATCGCGATGGACTTCGTCCTCAAGAGCTCGAAGAGTATCGCGAGTTAACGGGCGGCGATCGACCCAGTCGTCATCGTTGGCCAACGGATCTTCTCGAGAAGAATAGTGGTGTCCACAATCACGTGGGACGTCTTGTGGGTCGACGACGTCGTCGGGGTCAAACCCAGTATTTTGTGAAGTGGCGGGGATACTTCCGCAACGGCAAAACTGTCCAGACGTCTTAAGCGCTTATGATCAGAGGGATTATGACACCCCGCGGCGTCGTATGCCCCGCACTTCTCGTCAATAGCCAAAGAAGCCGACGGGCAATGAGTTGAGCTGAAGCCATGGCCCTGAACTGCTGCAGTCCGGACTCATCCGTGTGAGAGACCATATAGCTCGCGGGAACGTGATGGATGAACTTATACGTCGCAGGGGGACACCCAAAGGAACTCGACGATGAGCCTTGATTTTGGCTTACTTAAACCGAAGATGGCGATCCACACGCTAGTCCCTCTGTGGCCCATTTGTAAGTTGTGAAGCGAGGAAGTTTATCGGTGCCACTGCACCCACCGCTAGAAGAGGTCTTCGCCATCTGCAGCGATTTTGCCGGGGGTGAGCACCACAGGAATCGTTCACATCGCGGGTACAACAGCGTCTACATATCCACCTATATTTCTTTAGGAAACAAGAGGTGAGCTCGTAGAGCTGTTCGTTTATCAAGCTGTGAAGTGGCAGGGGGCCGATAGCGTGACGCCCAATGATCGAGTGATTGCGCCCTCGCTTCAGTAGCGGGAACCGTCGAGCACAAGCCGTATTCCATACGAGGGTCAAGGGCCGATCGTGAATGCGCGCGCACGAGAGCCACCCCGCTGACTTCACCCAGCTGCTGCTTCTATGCCTCGTCGAGCTCATTGAAAATGATACCACTTCCCCCAGAAGTCGAGAGTTTGGGAAACGGACTCGGCGTCAGCAAGGTTCCAGCTCGGCACACATCGCGCCGCCAGGGCACCTCACCCTCTTCTGCTCCCCCTCCTAGGAAAGGAGTTTCCAATTCGAAGTCAACTTCCTCCGAATCCTCGACGAGGTAGTTCAACACCGTCCTTGGGCGTGCAACACTGTCGCTGGCTAAGTGCTGCGCGGTACTGCACGCATCCTTATTTATTTCCAAAATATGAACCCACTCGACAACTTCAGAGCATGGGCTGCGCTTCCCATTAAATTTCGGACGTACTGTCCGGAATTGCTCTGCCCGCGGGCGTTTTCAGAACCAGCGAGGCTAGGTGTCTTCCGTGACCTCGGGGCAGGACTCAGTGAGCAGAGAATTCGTGACGAATGTCATGATGATATTCTGGTGACCGAGACACGCGAGCCTCGTTTGAGGCGACAGTTGAACTTGAGCTGTAGGTGCTCATATTCTTTATGGGGGAGAGTGTAATGGGGTTGCATGTGCACTTTTATAAAAAAGGTGGGTCACACAGTATGGTGTACATACACAAAATAATGTAGAGACACTTAAACAACAAGTCAGTACGTCGCTGGCATAGCCAGTAGTTGAACACTTAATTAGGTTTCGCCATATAGATAGGAAGCCTATAGATTTTGATATAAAATCTTTGCCTCAAATAAAACCGAGGGATTTAGCTGATATTTTAAATGGTAGACCTAACTAGCCTTGGGTTAAGGTTGTAGTCACTCTTGGAGAAAGCGGATTGAGATCCGCTACATTCGTACTTGCTCTTAGTATCGAACGAAGGTCACCGACCTTAACCAAGCTTTCTCTGGGCGAGAAAGCTACGGCAGCCCCACTTTATGGGACCTAATGTTTTTCCGAGAAGGGCTTGTCGGACGATCTTACGTGGGATCTGACCCTTACTACGTTCCGCCGAGAGCAAAGTGAGCTCGCGATGCGCTGACGACGTACTACCAAAATGAATTGTGTGACGTTATGGAGGAGATGCTTCGCCGCCAAATAATCTTTTTTATCTCTGATTAGCAAGGGTCCATTTCCTCTAGCATTCATAAAGTACTCTAATATTGGTACCATTCTACCCCCTGGCATGCAAATTGTATTCTGCATCCAATGCAGCACCCAAGCTTCCTCAACAGAGGTAGGGTGGACGTGAAAGGTCTCGGCGCTAACTGCACAAGTTTGGGCACCGCCCCAGAGGTGATATCCATAACAGCCTCCGGGGGAATGTGTAACGCAGCTGTCACGATAATAATTTCCAACTACTTGGCATAGTTTGTTAGCTCTCGCCCCCTTTGACGGGCGAAATTAAGATCTTAAAACGCGATCTACGCGCCTGATTAGTTCGCGCAAACACCCGCCACAAACGCCGCTTCGAACGTTTCATGTTGTCATCCTGACAAAGATACTGCTCGTGTACGGCTTCCTAGCTGCAAAATTAGAAGCTCGATGCGCTGTTACTCTGTTTGGAGATGCTCAATTCATGGATGTAGCTGCCTCCCGCTTTCACAGAATCTTTTCGTCCCTGTTCTCAGTGTATCGGCATGTCTAGTTATTCCAAAGAGGGGATCAGTCCATTTACGACTCGGTCATGGGGCTAACAGCTATAAATGCTAACGAGTTCAACAGGTTGCCGTGCCCTATGTACAGTGGAAGCTTGGATTCAATGATTCCACCTTTATTTCTTTGGTTAGTACGTTCCTTTTGGAATAGATCCAGGAGTATGTACTGTATTAATACCAAGTGCAGCGAGGCTTCCTTAGTTCGTTCGCTTCCCTAGGTTGCTCTACAATTTTAAAAATTAGATGTCTTTGAGTTATACTCAATTGACATTATTACTAGATATATGTGCTTTACTGTGTACACATTGCACAATAGAACGATGCAAATGTCGTACGCTTTTATAGTCTAATACATCGTACCAATATGTGTGGTGCAAGTACACAAAATTAAGTATTCGCCTTTGTTACAGTGAGCGTGCTTCGCTTTTTTGTACACGCACACATTGCAAGATGTCTTGAGCTGTCGTTTGACTGGCATACAAAAACAGATATGGCAATCTAGTTATGCAAAATAAGTATCTAGTTTTCGGTTCCTCCTTTGTGAAGCAGATGCGCCATATGCAGCGCTTTTATTTAACACAGAGGAAGTCGAAGCTTCCTCTGTGCAAGGTGCACGACAACCCCATTTTGAGAAATTCTGGCGTAGAAGATTTGTTCATCTCGATTTGGTGGGTCTAATTAGCCTATATTGTAGTTCTTGATTTACATACAATTATAATTCGGACGCTAGGGCCTGAAATGCCTCGCGCAAAGAAAGCTTGACTCAAAAAGTCCACGTCAAGAAACGCATAGAAGTTAAGCTCTTACCCTTTACCCGGTTGCGGACCGATTGCCTTGTAAGTTCTAGTTGAGCAGCTAGCCATATTTTTAAGATATATTCTATTTGATCTAGTACTAAATTTATTCCTTCATCTATAATAAAGTTGTTTAGCAGCCCACTCATAAGTACCAGATTATTAGTACCAGTGAACGTAAAGTGTATATGCAGTACAGAACATACTTTTACAGCATTTGATTCAATAAAAATTAATATTGTCAAAACAATTCGATTTTAGTAAAGCGCCTCTATTGTAAGATATTTGATTGCAATAGAAAAAAGCTTAAGTGGGATCCTTCAGATTCTCATCTTTCAGGTGCGCTGCTTATGAATGCTGCAATTGAAGCTGGATATTTTTTGTTAAATCTGTAGTCTACGACGCACCGCTATTGTCACGACACACCCTACTAATAAAAATTAGACTTAAGAGGTTTTGATGGGCCTATGCTGTTTCGGCACTATTTTTATACGCTTTTGCGTTTTAGGCTTGGGGAGTTGTGCGACGATGGAGAAATAGCGACAACCTCTTTTTGACCTTTAAAAGCGCATTCACAAGCAAGAACAGCGGGTCATCTATCCTCATCTTGCTCTCAGGAACGAGTGAAGTTGGGTAGTAAGGATATGGCTAAGGGCCAAATTCCTCTTTTTGGTTAGTTTTGCAAGCAGCTTTCAGATCGACGTACGTTCACTTAAATTTGAAATTGCTATGCATCCACGCTCATCACTCAGCAAGTACGTAATGCTGTTTTTTTAACAATAATCATCATTTTACACACTTCTGTATTTCTAGACACTTGCCAAAGAGAAGTTTGTCAAGTGCAGGTCTGGACGAACTTGACGAGTTGCTTCATGGCTCGGATAGTGGACATCGCAAACGCCACCATAGTTTAAGCAGTAACAGTAATCACAACGAAGCATCGGTCTTTGCTACATCTTCATCTCCGTCCCGACACGAATACCCGTCACCGTCGTCGTCTTACTCTAATACCTTGCGCCGCCCTGAGCTTTTTCCGTACAGTGAAAGTACGTGCGTTATGTTTTGATCACAAGAAAAGTGCCAATGTCTGACATTTTTGCCTTTTAGAAATCAATACAAATGGAAATTTTCAGCTACTCGAAACAAGGTTTTCCAATCAAGCTCAGATGAGTGAGAATTATCACAGTGGTCTTTTAAATGACAATAACTTTTCGGACGATCATTACCAAGATTTGAACAATGAATTTCAGGCTTCTGATGCGACTCCTTCCAGTGGTCACGAGTATATGTCCAGTAGCAAACATTTTTCCTCGCCAAATTTCACGTCTCACGATCCTCATGACGTTGTGTTTGAGCACCGACTAAATCATGACGAGGCTATCTCTGGTAAGCGCTATGACCACAATTCACTTCGACCACCATTCCACCGTTCATTTGGCAGTAAATCGTCTTCTCCTCGCGAAGAGTATTTAATTCAAGCATTCGGTCCCAGCGGCTTTAAGCTCCATAGCACTTCAGTATCTAGCAACGACGAGTTAGAGGACAGTTTAAGTGATAATAGCAGTGGTAATAACGGAGAGTCAACCATGACAGACGCAGAGAACGAGCTCAAAATGTCGTTTAATGAGCTCGAAGCAGATATACGCGGTGCTATGCATCAAACATCTCCTCATCAACAGCAACATTCGGCAAGACTTCCAGAGCTTACAGAGTTGTCACACTTGGCCTACACGACACCTTCACAGGGCTCATATGACCTAGATCGTCACAATCTTATCAGGAATAATCAAGACCCTCATCACGTCGGTATGTTTGCGCAACCATTGGATCGTTCCGATGTCATAAGCTGTCCGAAAGATGCATCTTTTTATCCGAGAGGTACGCAAAACACATTTTTGGCTAAAACAGTGCAAAATAAAGGAAATCAAAATGGAATGCAAGCACCTACAAAGTGGCTTCGAGATGAAGATGAACGACTTCGTGTTGCCGTTGCTCGATTTGGTGGCAAGAATTGGAAAATGATTGCTGAAACGCTTGGAAATGGGCGCACAGATGTTCAGTGTCTTCACCGTTGGAACAAAGTGCTGAAACCTGGTCTTATTAAGGGGCCGTGGACACCTGAGGAAGATCGTATTCTAACTAGTCTAATCACACGCTATGGAGTGGGTAAAATCCGCTGGTGTGATCTTGCCCTGCATTTGCCAGGACGTATTGGAAAACAATGTCGGGAGCGGTGGTGCAATCATTTGGACTCGCGTATTCGAAAAGGACAATGGACTGCTGAAGAAGATGATATGGTGTTTCGATGGCAACAAAAGTTGGGCAATAAATGGAGTGAAATTGCGAAATTGCTTCCAGGACGTACGGAAAATGCCGTCAAGAATCGATATAATTCAGCAGCACGTCGCAAGTGGTTGATGAATCAGGCCAATAAGACAGCGTCGACGTCCACATCACAAACTACCCCTACAACACCACAAGCCCCACTACAGCAGCAACCACAAAGATTATTGCACTCTACATTTTCTACTCACCAAGAAAGCAACGTCTGCAATGTAAGCTCGATGTCATTTGGAGGCGGGGGTGCAAAAGTTTTGCCAGCACCATCATCGGAAATTTTACTTGAACATCAGTCGCACAACATGATTCCAGCACTAGGACATCAAACTTATTTTACGCACTTCACATCATCAGGAATGTTGTCTACGAACGTGCTACTTCCTGCTGGTCCGGACAAGACACGTCCTCTTTTTCGACAAGTTGAAGGAATGGGCGATGACCAAAGTTTTTTGCAAGAAAAGCACGATAAACCTGCAGAAAGTGGAAAAAATGAGCCGTTGTCGGCGTCACCTTCGACCTTCGTGCCACCTCCATTGAATATGTTATTTCCCCCTCCATCCGCCAATGTTAGTACTAGTCATACCATTCACTCTCTGACAAGTAGCCCCAGTAGTAGGGAGGCTGCCCTCACTCCTATCTTTCCTCAATTTCCAATCTTAGCGCCTGTTGTCGGACTTCCCGTTGAGTCTTCGTCTGGCGAAGACAAACACAGTGAGTCTTCAGTTCTCCAATCGAAGGACGAGAAAAGCGAACGAGATGATCTCGGCCTTCACGAGACCTTAGCAGTGAGCTCAGGGCATGATCCTGGTGTTTCCATGGATGACGAAAACATGAATAGCTTTCTCGATAGTGTCGCACTCGAGCTCGAAGATATAATGGAATGAAGTCATTTTTTCCTGAACTAAAATCAAAACCTTTACTGTAGGCGACAATGTGTGGAAACAGCAAGTAGTTCTAAAGGAAGTAGATAAGTGTGATAATTTATACAGGAGAGTGCACGATCACTTAAGGCACAATTACATACAACCATGTTTCTTTTCGTATGATAGAGCGGACTTGTTTCACATCGCTAAACTTAACATTTGAGCTCACTTTGCACAGCATCAGAAACAGTTAATGCGCAAATATCCTTCAGTCTTTGTTCCACTCCATTCTGGCCGCCAAAAAGGTGCAAGCGTCCATTGCAATCAAGCACAGCACCATGTCCCACACGTCCTCGCATTAGGGTGTCAGCGTTCTTATCATTGTTAAAAGTCGTCGGTTGCCACTCCCATGTGATCGTGTTTAACAGAAATGCATCATCAAAGACATTCGTCGATGCGTTTGCATCATCGCGTTGAGGGTCCCACCCTCCAAATATAAGTATCTCGCCATTATTCAAAAGTGTTGCAGAGTGACCTGTGCGCTCTTGTGGTGGTACTCCAGTAACGCATGGGTGAACCCACGTCCAACTCGATCCACTAGGTTTCACGTCCACCTTTTGCAGTACGTGGACAGAATTAAAACTCTTCGAGGAATCGTTGCCCCCAAAGTAGAGAATTCGATCCTCTCCTATAACAACAGCGCTGTGATATGTTCGGGCACTGGGAGGTTTTCCATCTACTTTGACAGCCTTCCAATTCCAATTATCTGCAACAAAGAAAAAAAGTTACTACCATATCATAGAACAAACAATAGTATTATTATTATAGACGCACCAGTATCCAAAATATGCACTGAACTTTGCCGGTTGCGTCCTCTGCTTCCGCCAAAAACTACAACTTCGTTGCCGATGACGGTGCATGTGTGGCCACTTCGTGCCGAAGGAGGTGATCCTTGAATAGCCGGTGGATACCATAAAAAACATTCCGTGTCAAGCACCATAATGTCGGAAAGGATATCGAACTCGCCTTCTGCTGTAGCACTGCGCTCACCTCCAAAGACAAGTACTAAATTCTTGGACGATAAAAATACTGCGTCGTGCCAAGTACGCGCGATTGTTTCGCAATTAATTGGTGTTGTCCAACGATGAGTCTTCATATCAAATATGTGCAAATCTCCGAGTGTGCGCTCGTCGTCATCGGTGCCTCCGTAGACCACTACACGTTCATCTGAGATCTTGGTAGCAGTATGACCCCAGCGTTCAAGTGGTTTAGACCCCACAGCTTCTACCATTTCCCACTTGACAACTGATGTCAAAAAATCCAAAAAGGTTCAGATTGCACAAAAGCACGTTTACGTTTTCTGCCTAAACCGTACCTTTAGGATCAACTTTCGCTGCTTCAATCACCATCTCGTTACAAGATGAATCTGGCGAAAGTTTGAGAGCTTTGCTCCTTTTCGATTTAGAGTTGGGTGTCGATTTGCGCGAAATCGATTGTTTTGGTCCTGGCGAGCTAAGACTGTTCATCTCTTCTAATCCTTTCTTTGTAGTTGCTTTGGTCTTAAGCGGTTTTAACGTCAATTTTAACGCATCACTTCCCGTCTCTGTCGTCTTCTTCTCTTCGACTTCAGCATCTGGCTCAATTATTGTATCCTCATCTTGACCTTCCGAACGATGGTCTTTTAGCTGTGACAGAAGTGATGTTTGCTTAAGGAAGTTTGGTCTCTGTCGCTTAACTTCCACATTAGAATCATCGTCTTTACTAGCGCTAAGATCAATTGTGCGTTTATTTATGGCACTCGTAGCCTCGCCAATCAAATGTTTTCCTAATGCTGTCAAAGAAAGTAAAAACGATGACAATTGATGACGCAGCAACTTGTTCGCTTACGCTTGGTCAATACGATGTCACCAGTAAAGTTGCGACATCGAATTGTTAATGAGCCTGACGTAAACTCGAACTGGATTCCTGCGAGATTCGCCGGAAGATCTACCGCCACACCTTCGTATGAAAGCAGTGGCATTCTATCGTAGAGATAAAATGGTTACCGTAAAGCATTTCGCGCCAAAATCTACACACGAACTTAGACGAAAAGTGCTTAAGTTGCGTTTAGCAAAAGATGAGTATTAACGTGCAGCTTCATGAAGGAGCTGTGCCAATTCTTGTGTCTCCGTACGAAAACTTTTTCTTCTTAATTTACCGCGTCAAGCTCACAGTCGAAAGCGGCAAGTATGTGCATCTAGTTAAAATGTTTAAGGTGCGAGCTAAAACTGTTTCTTTTAGTGGATATCCAGGACAGGGTGGCTGCTTTTACAGCAACGAAGGCCGATGTTACATCTCACAGTACCGCCTCGTCTTTGTGTCAAGTGTAGCCCGAGATAATGCTGCCTACCAGTCATTTTCACTGCCATTCTACGGCATTCGTGACTGGAGCTTTGATGTCAGCCTTTTTGGTACATATCACGCTTTGAATCGACGAGTTACAAAATTGATAATAACGAATTTGTTATCAAGGTAAAAAATTCTGGAAAGGTCATGTAAATCCCGTTCCGGGTGGTGGGTTAGTTGGTGTCGGAAAGTTTATTATGGAATTTTTGGTAAGTTCCAGTCACTCAATATTTGAGCAGTATGTTGTACTGGCTAATGAGTGCGCTTGAAATGCTGGTAGAGCTATGGTTTTGATGAATTTCGCAACCATGTGCTTCCGTTGTTGGCGAATTCAAGGTCGCTGCATCAACAATTCCGTCATCTGACAACCCCGTCGGTGCTATTGGTTCCCGGGGAGCTAGAAGAAAATAATGAGAGTGATTCACGCCGGCTCGCATACTGTTCTGCGGAAGATCCCATGACTCTCTTTATTGTCAGTAAGGCGTTATCTAGTCAATCTGATCAATGATTAGCTCTCAATTATAGTCAGAGTGCATGCTTTGGAGTTTTATTAGTATCTGTACCTTAAATATGATCAATCATTTTCAGCGCAAGTATGGCTACTGTTTTTCAACGCAAATGGAATGCCGAATCACAACACTGCTGTCACTCACTTTGATAAAGTCGCAAATTTGCGTATTCTGGTCAATAGACAAACCCGTTATAGTATGCAGCTCCCGGCGATCAGGATGTTTATAAGGAAAAGCGTTGCGACAACACACAAATTGTCAGTCAAAGGTCTTGATCATAGTAACTGTGTACGTGCATGAAATGTTCCACTTGTTACGTATTAGCATGCATCCAATCAGTAACAACGAAAAAAAATCAAGTCATTGATACAAAGTACACGCACTAGCACTTAGCTGTCCATCCAAACAACCATACTAAGTGACGTAGCCTATCAATTGACCCAGCTTAGTCAATAAGAACTTTGACTGAATGCGAGAAGGAGGCGGAAGAACTACTCTTGATTTGTAGTTCTTCTCTGCAATGGCAGCGTGTATGTGCAGCGTTTTCTTACCTCAGAGGTGTAAGGTAGTAGAGCTTGCGAACACATGCGCGTATATTTCTTGGACTCAGGTGTATCATTCAGACGAAGCACTGGAGAACGACACAAAATATAGTGGTGACAAGAAGTGCAGCGGGGCTATCGTAGCTCTTTCCCTTACGGAAGCTTGGTTAAGGTCGGTGACCTTTCTTCTATACTTAGAACCAGTACGAGTGTAGCGGATTGCAATCCGTTTTCTCGAAGAGTTGCTACAACCTTAACCCAAGGCCAATTAATTCCTCCTTTCAAAAGGTAAACTGCCAAAAACGCCTATATCTAAATCAATAGGTTCCCTATCGATATAGTAAAACCTTACTAAATGTATACGTACTGACTTGTAGTTTAAGTGTAACTAAACCAGCAGCTGGTCACACCATCTTGTGTTACCTACATCATTGTGTGATCACATCGTCTTGTGTTACATACACCATTGTGTGATCACATCGTCTTTTGTTACCTACACCATTGTGTAATCACATCATCTTGCGTGTACCAGGGCATGCGAAACCCAGTTACACTCTCCCCCATCACGAGTGTGAACACCTAATGTTCACATTGAACTGTTGCCTCGTTCGAGGTTTTGTCTTTTCTTTCATGAACCGGGCAATCAAAGTAAAAAAGACCAACGCCCTTAAATTGATGAACACAGAACAATGATGATAAAGGACACGACCGCAACCAAGTTAGTAGACCATAATTACAAGATCGCACATAGCATATCATACGAAGTACACGACTTCACTAACGTAAAGTCTCCGACGGGACTCGAACCC